ATCATGATTAATTTTAATCTGACTAAACAGTTAATCGTAACCGCGATAAACAAATTTTTAATCATTAACTCTTAATTTGATCAAATAGGTTTGGCGATTAATTAACTTATGCTGGAATTTCCCTGTGCACACAAAGCAAGTTAATCCGGTATGGCTAAGTCGGGTTTCCTCATCAATCTAAGCAATTTGGTGTGCATTTTCATTAAGATATATACCAACAAACGTTTTGCAAACTAGGTTTGTAAAAGTTCCCAGTTTATGTATTACTAATAACAATAATTATTATTTTCTTATATTACGTGCTTTTCATAAGCGTAAAACACAAAATAATTACTATAACTGGTGTTTGGTTTCAAACTCGGACAAACTAGACAAATTAATCAGATTTTATTTTTAATTGGATTAACGATTAATGTTTTAAATTAATTAAACGTAATCGCAGCCAGCGATTAACGATTAAAAAAAATGTTATCATTAATTGTACAGTTGATTACGACTAATTAATTTTAATCGTCAAACGCGATTAACATTTTAATCGTTATTCAGATTAACAGTTTGCCAGCACTGTGTGAAATCATGTTCATATTTAGGGAGAAAAATGGACGTTTTTGGAAAAGAGGCGTAGCACCTCCCATACTGACTGAAAGTTTCATATTGCATATCTCTTCAAATGTTTGGGGTAAAGCACTCAAGCTTGGTTCTATGCTGCATATCTCTGGAGGTGTTTATTGCAGAGGACTGGAACTTGGCACCGAGATGTGTATACAAAATTAATTCCATACTCAAGGAGAAAAATGTGCGTTATTCGAAAAGGGGACATGGTTCCTCCCGTACAAATTTACTGTTTTATATTGCTTATCTCTAGAGGTGTTCATGGTAGAGTACTGGGACTTGGTACTGGGGTATGTAAAATCAATTCTAAATTCATTGAAAAAGATTAGGGTTATAAGAAAAAGGGGCGTGGTACTTCCAGTACAAATTTACTTTTTCTTGACACATATCCCTGGACGTGTTTGTGGAAGAATACTGGAACTTGGTATGGAGTTGTGTATACAAAATGTATCAATTGCTCATGGAAAAAATGTGAGTTATTAAAAAAGGAGGCATGTCGCCTCCCATACATACTTAAAACTTCTTAATACATATCTCTGGAAGGATAGAAAATCTCTCGAAGTATTTTAAATTTGTTATGGAGATTTATTTTATAAGTGCCGCACTGACAGAATAAATTCCATTAAATGGAAAAGGGAGAGCCGGATTCGGCCTTTTAATCTAAGGCTCTCTTGAGGCATTTGCTACAGTAATGAGAAGTGGTATTTTATCAAGGCCAGGTTACTAAATTTGAGTTGGAAATATTAGAACCCGCCGTGGCACCTCCAAGAAGGTTACACGTTCACGCGTCGTATACCTGGAACCATTTTAAGGTAAACTTAGAGGGATTTATATCTTTCGTATGCCTAGCGCGCAGACGAGATTTTATAATTTCATAGTTTTAAACGGCCTAAATGCCTTAACTCGCTTAAAAAATAACGAGCTATAACGAAATGGGCACAGAAATAAAATCTAACATCGTTAAATTATTTTTCATATTTGTATAAAAGCGCGGGGTGAAACCCGCGGGTATAAGCTAGTTTATTAATAAATTCGTCTTGAAAAATTCACTTTTTTGTGAATTTCGGAGTGATTTTTATGTACGGTGACCATCCGTCCTTTATTTCAAAGGGCAGTCCTTTATTTTAGCTCTCTGTTCTTTATAATTTTTTTCAAAATAAAGGACGCATTTTGTCCTTTATTTCTTAATCTGTCCTTTAAATCAGTTCTGGATTTTTCAGAGGTAAATGTTTGAACAGAGAATATAAAATAATAAAAATGCCCCTTATAAAATATAATGAAAACTTTCGCACCTCTCTTAAGGGTTGCTATTTAATCGATAATCTTCGTGCAATCTATAAATCACGAATCATTGCTAATACTGATAGAAAAATTAATATACATACTTTGAGTAAAATTCTCAAAAGAAAGGGGAAAGTTGGGCCCAGCACTTGTTGCACGCTAAGTTTCAAAACTGGCATTTAGTGTTCATAATTCACTGGAGACTTAATTTTACATTCATTTGGTCTTTTTTTTTGAATGAAAGCTTATAAAATTTGCAAGTGTTCAGTGGAGTCTTATTTGTGAATTTTTTATTTTAAATTTTTTAGTGCAAAGTGCAGAAAAAGTAGCAATTTTGAAGAAAATGTATTCTACTTTTCAGTTAATAAATGTTACATAATAAAAACCAGTTGAAAGCAATTGTTTGGTTCTTCCAAAATGAAAAAAAAACACCCAAAAATTTGAAATGTTCTAAAAAATTTTCACCAAAATATTTTTTTTTGTTTTTATTAAAAATTGGTATATGCAGTTTAATAGATGATTAAATTTTATAATAATAAAGAGCAAGGTGCAAGTGGCTAAGAGTTCCCGTTGATTTTTAAAAATAAAACAAACGCATTTATTTCCCATTTCGAAGTGTTATCGAAAAAAAAGATTAAAAATCAACACAATCTCTTAGCTACTTGCAACTTGCATTTATTATACTACAATTTAATAATCTATAAAACTGCATACCCAAAATTTTTCTAAAACTCAAATTTTTATTTTAATTTTGGTGAATTTTTTTATAACATTTCAAATTTTTCTTGTGAAATTATTCTTCATTTCGGAGGAAACCTACAATCGCTTGCAATTAGGTTTTATTATGTAACATTTGTTAACTGGAACAGGAGAATCGATATTCTTCAAAATTGCTACTTTTTCTGCACTTTCAAAATTCGTGCTCAACTGGTCTTTTACTAGGTTTATAAGCTTTCATAACAAAATAATAATCCAAGCGTCCTTAAAAAAAGGGAAACTTGTACAATTAGATAATATAATGTACTAGTAAATGTTTGATTTAAATTACGATACTTTTATCATTTTGAAAAAAAATGTCCTTTATTTTACGTTGGCTAATATGGTCGCCGTAGTTATATGCAAATATACTCTAGATGGCGTATTCGGAGGTATATGCAAACGAAATGTTGAATACCTTTGATAATAGAAAGGTATTCTGCACAAAAATACTGTTTATAGAGTTTGCATTTCCATTGTCAAAATGCTAATTTTAGACCATTTTCCAATGCTTCCCCGGGGGTACGTGGAAGCTTTCGAGAAATCAGGTGTGACTTTTTACCAAGTATGAACTGTGCTCGATCTGGTGGGTTAGATATCAAGACCCACCCCCCTCCCGCTCCGCCCACTAACCCAAAAACCGTGGGCAAATAACTAAACATTTCGCGTTAATATTTCCGCGTAGGTTTACACAATTATTGAAACATTACAAGGCAAAATGAAGTCTGCAGTGGCAAATTGTAAAAGTGAAAACAAAAGGCAAGCGTGCGATATAAGTAAATTTTTTTATATACATATCTAAATACATATAACTTCATGCATTTTTCCAACGTCCGGCATGTGCTGAAAATCGTACTTACCTAAAGGGCTACATGCCGAAAATTATTGCTACGTGTTCCTATTTAATAAAACTTCGTATATTTATTAATTCCTGCAAAATTAGACCATTGCCAATTGCACCAAGATGACGTCACACATAAATTACGCTCAAAAATTCTCTCTCATGGGCGCAATCTTGTATTCTATCATTCTTGGCTAGTACTCACGCCGTTTTTTCTACACTTTTAACTCAACCACTACCGTATCGTATAGCAAAAGCTCATCTATTAATTTTTATATTTTGCTGCTGAGTGGTAATATCTCTTTTTATGGTTCAGTATGGTGGATTTGAACCACTATATTGATATGGACTCCAGCGGTAATGGAAACCATAAAGTACTTATAGATATTCTGTGCAAGAAAACTGAGGGCCTCAATGTGGTTCATTTTAATGCGCGTAGTTTGAATGCAGATCAACTTGATTATGTTAGGAGTATATTTGATGAGGCTGCTGTTGATGTAATTTAATTTACTGAGACTTGCTTCAGTACTGATGCTTCGGACTTCTATGAAATAGCTAATTATAATTAGGTAAGGAATGATAGAAAATTTAAAAGAGGGGGAGGGGTCGCGGTGTACTGTCGGTCCAACCTAAAAGTGAAGTCTTTGGCGGAGTCGGTTAACTCTGAAACACAGTTTTTAATTTCAGAAGTTTCTGATGGTGTAGCTAAGGTGTTGGTCTCCTGTGCGTATAACCACCTCATAAAAAAAATTAAATTCAAATTATTTTTAAGATAAATCAAATATTACACTGTGAGTATCGATCGAAATGATTTTTAAAAGGCTTTATTTTTTATTTATATTTAGGAGGGTTGTAACCTGTTTCAAAAAGCAAGTTCGACTTAAATAAAGGCAGAAAATTGAAATGTATATCCTGATGTGGATGTCGGACGAAAGAGGTTGTGATTTGAAAATATTTTGCAGAGCGTTGCCACCTTGTTACAAAGTTAGATTCAATATAAGCAATAGGTTCAATATATTACTTCATTATGAATATAAATCAAAATTGCCTTGAAGAAAATTTATTTCTAAACTGCATGTAGGATGGTTGCCACCTGATTTTATAATTAAATTCAATTTTAATTAAGAGTTTTAGATAATTTAAATATATAACACAATACAATTGTCAAACGAAAAAGGTTTAACGAGGTTTTTGTTTAAAAATAATTTTAACGGGATTGCCATCTCTTTGAAAAGCCGAATTAAATTAAATTATATGAAATATTGAAATATGAGCGTAGAACAAAGGAGTACTAAGAAATATTTAGTTTGAGCATTTATAACATTAAATAGGGTTTCCACCTGTATAAAAAGTTAAACTCAAATTATTTAATATGTCAAATGACTTATTTAAGTATAGGTATCAATTGACATGGGATACAAATATTTTCTTCTGAAATATATTTAAGAGGGTTGCCGTATATTTTAGAAATTAAATTCAATTATATTCATTATATAATTAAACAATTTATATACACAATTTAAATTTGTGTCGCAATATGTGTGTAAGGCGAAAAAGGTTTAACACGGTTTTGGTTTTGAAACATTTTGAACAGGGTTGCCATATGTTGCCAAATTATAATTTAATTAAAGTAAGCATAAGCTAAATACTAATAATAATAGATTGGCGCTTACACATATGTTAGTGTTTGACCGAGCTTCTCCTCCGATTTTTGGTGTGCGCCTTGATGCTGTCACACAAAGAGGAGGGTCTACAGTTTCTGGCTTTCCTATATATTCAAAAATAGTACCTCCCCTGGATTTAAGTTTAACTAATGATTTAACTGTACTTTAAAATAGATAAGTTAACGGCCCTTAATGAATTTTTTATTTATAACACGGTGCGACAAAACATAAACATAGCATAAATGAATATACCAGTATAAAAATTCTGCATACTCAAAATGTTCAATACGTCCTCATATTTATACATACATAATTGCGGAGGAATATTACAGAGTATACGGAAGACTTTATTTTCTTATATTTTTCATATTCAATAACGTCTGGTCCGGCTATTTGGTTTACTACACAGGTATGTAGAGCTAAGAATTTGAAAAATACATCAGGGTTTAGTTGAGATATTCGCTTTTGACCACTATGTTTTGTACATTTCCAAATCCATGAGTCCTCTGGGTAGCGACCGAACACTAGTTTGGGAGCGAGCTAAAGTGGGAGGGCGTAACACCCCGCGTGCGCTGGGTTTGGGTCCCGCCACATTAAAACCCTGCGCAATGAAAAAAAAACACATGCCTCGGATGATACCCCCTTTTGTTGACGATCACGGCAAACATAGGAAGGACTATGATTTGAGGGTATGCACCTGGAATATCCGAACCCTTAATCGGGAAGGTGGCTCTATCCGGCTGGTTGATGTCCTAGGGAAAATAAACGTTAACGTCACCGCCATCCATTAAATGCGATGGACGGGGCGAGGAAGGTAAGCGTAGAGCTTTGCGACGTCTAATACAGTTGCCAAGTATTTAAAGGAGAAATTCAGCCTCCACATAGAAACGGCGGGCTGAGGTTTTTGTTTAAAAATAATTTTAACTGGATTGCCATCTGTTTGAAAAGTCGAATTAAATTAAATTATATGAAATAATGAAATATGGGCGTAGAACAAAGGAGTATTAAGAAATATTTAGTTTGAGCATTTGTAACATTAAATAGGGTTTCCACCTGTATAAAAAGTTAAACTCAAATTATTTAATACGTCAAATGAATTATTAAAGTATGGGTATGAATTGACATGGGTTACAAATATTTTCTTCTGAAATTTATTTAAGAGGGTTGCCGTATATTTTAGAAATTAAATTCAATTATATTTTGATATAATTAAACAATTTACATACACAATTTAAATTTGTATCGCAATATGTGTGTAAAGCGTGTGTGTGTAAGGCGGGCTGAGACTGATCGACTTCGCCGGGTCCCGAAACTTGGCAGTATGTAGCACTGGGTTCTAGCATAAAAAGATCCATCAAGCTTCAAGAGCATATTGTGATAGACGGAAGGCATGCTTCCAGTGTTCAAGGTGTACATACGTACACTCCGAGGGCCAAACATCGACTCGCACCACTATATTGATGCAGCCTATATAGGACCCCGCCCCGGTGCAGCAAAACAAAACAAAGCTGCTTGAGCTGACGGCCTGTCAACTGAGCTATTCAATAACGATGGCAAGGACCTAATAACGTGAATGCCCGACGACTGGAATTAAACTGCGCTCTGCCCAATCCACAAGAAAGGCGACCGCGCCATGCGTGCCAACTACCGCGGGATCAGCCTTCTAAGCTTAGGTTGCAAGGTTTTATCGAATATACTGTGTGAAAGACTGAATACCACCGTCAAAGAACTGATTGGGCCTTATCAGTGTGGGCTTAGACCAGGAAAATCCACCATAGACCAGGTATTCACAATACGCCAAATCTTGGAAAAGACCCGCGAGAAGGGATCGACACTCACAACCTATTTATCGACTTTTAAGCCGCTTTCAATGGCCCTAAAAGGAGTTGCCTATACGCCGCTATGTCTGAATTTGGCATCCCCTCAAAGCTCAAACGGCTGTGTAAAATGACGTTGAGCAATACCACCAGCGGGGTTTCAGACAGGGCGACTTCCTTCCATGTGACTTCTTTAATCTGATGTTGTACAATATAATAAGAGCTGCAGAACTGAACCGCTCAGGAACAATTTACTACAAGAGCGTACAATTTCTGGTTTATGCCGACGACACTGACATCATTGGTAAGAAAAACCGCGAAGTTTGTTATGCCTTTTCCAAGTTGGACAAGGAAGCAAAGCAAATGGGTCTGGGGGTAAACGAGGACAAGACGAAGCATAACCTGTCATCAAACAAACAATCAGCACATTTGCGCCTTGGCACCCATGTCACTGTTGACAGTTATAATTTCGGAAATGTAGAGAATTTCGTTTACTTGGGAACCAGAATTAACACCGATAATAATGTCAGCATGGAAATCCAACGCAGAATCACTCTTGCCAACAAGTACAACTTTGGACTGACTAGGCAACTCAGGAGTATAGTCCTTTCTCGACGAAAACCACACTCTGTAAGTCACTCATAATGCCCTTGCTGGTATATGGCGCAGAAGCTTAGACAATGACAAGATACTATGGGGTGGCTCTTGGAGTATTCGAGAGAAAGATTTTGCGGAAGATTTACGGGCCTTTACGCGTTAGCGACGGCGAGTACCGTAGGCGATGGAACGATAAGCTGTATGAGCTTTACAACGACATGGGCATAGTGCAGCAAATTAAAATACAGCGGCTCTACTGGCTTGACCATGTGGTTCGAATGGACACCGACCCTCCAGCTCTGAAAGTATTCTTCACTTGGCATTTCCAATTGGCGTCAGTTGGCACAGAAGAGAAACGACTGGGGTGCTTTGCTAAAGTCGGCCAAAATCGCTTTGGCGGTTACAGCGCCAAATAAGAAGAAGAAGATAATAGATCTATAACCTTATCAGTCACACAGTGTTATAATCCCGACGAAATGCTTGACGGGGGTACAGGGAGGGGAACGGTAGATGACGGTAGGAAGTTTATTTTAGGTTAAAGTCTCACACTGACGGGGTTAGGCTTTCAATGCTTCCTCCTCCTAAAATAAACATGCGCAGTCACAAGTTAAGTATTTAAATCGACGAATAGTTTTATATCAACTTTTGTGAACTTCTATTTATGTGTTTTTGTACAACATATTTACCTCTATTGGTCACAATAATTTTAAGCTATAATAAAAATTTATTAGCAAGTAAGTTATTGGTTTTGAATTTTTTTTTTGTTGTTAAAATTACTATAATAATTTGTAATGCCATGGAATTGGTTGCAATATGTTTTAAGTCTCTACCTCTCTCTGATTTCTTTCTATTAACATTTCTTTTTTTCTCTCCCACGTCGAAACCTGCAACCAACTTCCCGTACTGCCTCTTTACCAGGTCTAAGTTTAATGCGTCTAACCCTGGGATTCAGTAATTCAGTATCATCTAAAGTCACTAAATTTGAGATTATCAATTAGTGACTAACTTTGTGACTTGAGACGATTTGGGTATTCAGAAGGAGAGAGTCACAAAAATTTCACCAAAAATGTGTGATGATAGCAAACACAGACAATCAACTGATAGTGTTTATGTATGCCTTTTGCCCGCGCCGCTCAAAGAGTCGCAATGGCCGAGTGGTCAAAGCATTAGGCAGGCAGCCGAGAGGGCCCGGGTTCAAGTCCTCCTCGGCCGTAAAGGATTTTTAGTTTTTTTTTTATTTAGTATTTTTTTTATTACTTTTATTTTTTTTTTATAATCTTTAGATTTTAAGGTTTAAGAAACAAAAAAATAATTTTTTATTTTAAAACATTTGTATGATAGTAATGCATTTTGGTTTATTTCATAATGAAATTCTTGTTGAACAAATTTCCTCGCTTCATTTTCGCGTTTTGTTTTAATAAAATGGAAGGAAATAAGCTTTTCCTCCATGCTTCTATTTTTGTGACCTGCTCTTAGCCAGCTGACAAATTAGTGACTTATTTTTGAGAATAGAGACGTGAGACAGCGTACTGAATACCAAATAGTCTCAAAATCCAAGTTCACCACCAAACGTCACTATTAGTGACTAGAGACCGCTTACTTAATGCCAGGGTGAATTATTGAATCCCAGGGTTAGTCCGAGGTCGTTCTGTGCACATAAGTCTAGAATATCCACAATCTAGCGAAGCAAAAACCACTAATGTGGCTCGATAGAACTTTTTTTGCTGATTTCAACCCAACCAAAATTATCTGACGAAAGTATAATATAAAGAAGATATCAATGGTTAAAGTTAAATTTTCTAATTTTTTTTTTAAATATTAATATCTTCTGAACAATATAACCGATTAAAAAACTAATGACGTCCAAATAAAGGTAATTAGTTTGTCTTTCATGTACATATGTACATAATTTATACGCTATTTTTTGTATTTTTAGTCCGGAAATACAAAAAAAAACCCAAATGAAATAAAAATATATTTTTTTTTTAAATGGCGTTTATATAAAATTAGTTTTATAGTATATACGTCGCATAAAAGGCATTTAAATTATGTCGAAATTAGCAACAATAATTCTTTAATCCGTTAAGTAGTTTCCGAGATATTAAACACATAAAAAATAGATAAGTTGGAATTTAACCTATTTTATTGGCTTTGGTTTTTATTTGTTTATTTGATTGAAACTAGCGTAAAAAGTTCAATCGATCCTCATTTCTTGTTTTTTTTTATAGCTAAACGGTTGGTATTCTAGACTTATGTGTGTGTGTGTGAAATCCTGTAGTACGGGAACATACTAAATGAGAATAAGAAAAAAGTAAAAAAAAAATGTCAAATTAAATTCTGAGTTTCTTAAACACCTCAATGTGAACGCTTGACAGTAGTTCATAAACTCAAAATGTTAAACTCGAGTTAACGGCTCAATGAGAACGTAGTATAACACTATTTGGAGTTAAAGCGAATGTAACCCTTTTTTCCGAATTTAGTTTGTGTCTTTGATAATCCAAACCTGCAGCAACTTGCCGACAGTTAAACGATGTTTCCACTGCAAGTGATTCGCTCTCCCATTCGTAATTCGCTCTCTCATTCGTGATTGGCGCCCCAATTAAGAACCGAATCACGTAATTCGCCATACAAAATTTTGAGAGCGAATCACTTAATTCGTAGGTGATTCAGATCAATCAACAATCGAATCAAGAATAAATCGTTGTCTTCTCTAATTTTTATCGACAACGGCTGTCAAAACACATAGACCACACACTCCCCACCAGCACAAACATTGAAAAAATAGCTAAAAAAATAAAAATAAAAAAGATATCAATGGTTAAAGTAAATTTTTTTAAATATTAATATCATTCGAACGACATAACCTATTAAAAAACTAATAACGTCAAAGTAAAGATAATTAGGGGGTCTTTCACTTGGTACATACATCATTTTCTCCCTTTTTTATATTTTTAAGTCAGTAATACCTAATTAGGGTGGCCAGATGCGCTGATTTAATCATTCCATGTGCTGATTTTTTTCTATTGTACTGATTTTTAAGAGCCCGAAATCAGTACGCAAAATGTACTGCTTTTTCGAATTTGTACTGATTTTTAGATTTAATAAATACTTTTGTAAATTGGTGTATTGACATTTACTTGAGGTTTACATGTTCAAAACAGTGGTTTTTGACAACTCATACGTGCGAGCAGATTGAAAGCATTAATTAAACTTGAACCATTATTAAAAAGGTGTCAACTAGCAATTGTCTCGTTTCCTAGGATTACGCAAAATAACAAACTGTTTGGATTCAACCCAACCCGATTTGCAATCACGATTTGCAGGTTTTACAGGCTGGTTTCGCCATTAATAAATATTATGAAAGGTGGTGGTGAGTTAATCATTTATTAAGTACACTGAGAAGATGACAATAAGAGATTATCTTTTGATTATAATTAAACATCCACTGAGAAATCGGCTGTCAGTATTTCAAACTTAACCCTTTCGACCCAGATGGTACATATATGTTCTACCAAAGTTTAAACATCCCTAAAACTTGTAATTTACATTTAATCACATTTGGAAATGTACCACGCCGTCTGTTAGGAGTTTTACCATCAGCTTGGACTCTACACATTCAGTTTTACATCTCCTGTTATGCCCAGTGTCGTTTTATTTCTGGGGAGAGGCCCCCCCGTTAAAGTTTTTGTACAGAATTCCTTGCGTTTGTGAAGATTTCTTAGTTTATTTAAATAACTAGCTGACCCGGCGAACCTCGTACCGCCTCAGAATCAATAAATGTTATCGTAACTTATTAGGTGAATAAACAGTTTTTTTAACGGTAAAATTAAAAAGAACTCACAATGAATTAAGTTTAATAAATGTACAAAAAACCAGAATTGGTGGATAGGTTGGTTGCACTCTAGTCGATTTATTTAAGCACATTATTATACACGACATTTTTCGTTTTGTTGTCAGGTGCGAAAACGAACAAAGCGGATGGTTTTCCGACACATGAATATGCCACGTAAAGTTGACCGTGAGAGAGACATTCATTTTCAAGATTCAGGCCACAAACACTCAAAGATTGACCTTGTGATTTGTTGATCATCATGGCGAATGCAAGCCGAATCGGAAATTGAATTCGTTTAAAGTCGAATGGTGTATCGGTTGGGATCATCGGAATTCTCGGAATGAGAACTTCCTCACCTTCGAACTTTCCTTTACGTATCGTCGCATGAATGACATTGTCTATGAGTTTTCTTACCAACAAACGCGTTCCGTTACATAGTCTTGGTTGGTTAAGATTTCGAAGCATGATAATTACGGAGCCAACCTTCAGTTGTAAATAGTGCGGTGGTAAGCCAGGCAGATCCAATGAGTTTAAGAAGTCAGTTGGATAGTTGGTTGCTTCGTCTTCATTTGTCACACCGTCTATCGATTTGAAGGAATGAAGTGGACCAATGATTTGCTTTTGGATTGTGATATTTAAGTGGTCTACATCGTTGTTCTTTGCCGCAAGAATTGCTCGTTCACTCAACCAATTGTGATATTTGTGGTTAGCAATTATATTCGGGAACACTTTGTTGATGAGCTCGTCCGTTGCTGAAACGAAATTGCAAAAATTCGGTGGAAAGGAAATCAATCCGTTCGATTGTCGACAGGAACACGGCCATTACCGATAGTCAGCAATTGTTTAGAGAAAGTTTCGGCGGATGGATCATTTAGCAATGCAACTCGCATATTTGTGGTCAGCTGAAGTTCCTTAACAAAGCGCCACAGAGTAGATGATTTCAGGCAAGCGTTTATTTCATCGGCAGCCGTCGATCTTGGAATGACTGGTAATGTTTGGCGAAAGTGACCAGACAGTAGAATCATTGCGCCACCAAAACATATTGAGTCATTGCGCAGATCTTTCAAAGTGCGATTAAGTGCTTCCAATGCGCGTTTGTGCGCCATTGTGCATTCATCCCAGATGATGATTTTACTTGCTACCAAAACTTTGGCCATTGCTGAGTCTTTCGCAATGTTGCATGTCGGATTTTCAGTCGTTTGAAGGTTCAAAGGTAACTTCAATGAGCCGTTCGGCATCCTTATAACAACGTGGCTGCTATCCCAGAAGAAGCAACTGCTACTGCAATTTCCGATCTCGCACGAACAGTGGCCAAAAACAATGACATGAGGAATGTTTTCCCAGTTCCCCCGGGCGCATCGAGGAAAAATAAACCACCGTTTCCATCATCAATCGCCTTCATTAAGGTATTGTACACTAAGTTCTGTTGGGTGTTCACCCAAGTCAAGTTTAACAGAAGGATGCGAGCTGTAGTCAATTGTGCAATCGTATTGAAACGCCACTCGATTCAAATCAATACTTGAATAACTTCTTCGTGCGCGTCGAATATAATCACGTTGTTTATCTGTATTATAAGCTCGACGATTTCTTATTGCTAAATTAGCAGTTTGACGTACTTCCTCTCTTCGTTCTTGTGTTAGTGAAGCACGAAGTCGGATCATACTAACGCGGCGCTATTCTCGTGCGGTTTCTCGTTCATCTGCAGTGGTTTGATTGGTTTTATTCCGAAGTCTAATTGCATTATGACTTCGTTGTGAAAGATTAGATCTTCTGCGTCGCGGCAATGTAAATAGCACTTGAAAACTAATCACATTATTCACAATTACTTAATTAAGAAATTATCTATGAGCGCACAAAAACAAATGTAATAACCTCAAAAAGTGAACGCCTTTGGAGGCAACTTACCGTTTAAAAATCGCAATCGAAAATATATTCGCACAGAAATCCTGGAAAATTAAACACACCAAAATTATCGATCGGATTGATTGCGCGAACAATGACACCTTTGAAATCATTTTTCGCTGAATAATTTCTGAAAAAATTGTTTGAAACGAATTAATAGAATCGAAATCAAACGCAATAACCGTCGAACACTGAATTAAAATTGGTGAAAACTCGGAAAAAAATGTTGGCATCTATCTCAATGGTATGTCATGGCAACTGAATAACTGCCTACTTATTTGACAATTAATAAAAAATTTCACAAACTTTCCTCTTCAAACATTTAAATTTCACGCTCACTTTCTTACTAACGATTTTTAATTACATATACATATGTAACTTAATTTCAGCGCCACCTGGCGGCAAATTTTTTCGAAAGAATTCTTTTTCCTGTTAACAATACATATTTTTAATCTGAGCATAATCGGACCATAAACACGATTTTTAGTAATAACTCGACTCCAATGCCACCTGGCGGTTTTTTTGCAATGGTATTATTTTTTCTATTGTAAATACATATCTCGAATATGAGGCCAATCGGGCCACAAATACGGGTTTTACTAATAACTCGACTCCAGCGCCACCTGGCGGCTCTTTTTTTTGCAATGGTATTGTTTTTCCTATTGTCAATACATATCTCGAATATGAGGCCAATCGGGCCACAAATACGGGTTTTACTAATAACTCGACTCCAGCGCCACCTGGCGGCTCTTTTTTTTGCAATGGTATTGTTTTTCCTATTGTCAATACATATCTCATATACGGGCTTTACAAATAACTCAACTCCAGCGCCACCTAGCGGTTGGTTTAATAGTTATTCTGCTATTCGGAAGGTAGACAAATTCAAAAACCAAATATCATAAAAATCGCTCCAGCCGTTCTTGAGTTATAAATGGTGTAACTAACACGACTTTGTTTTATATATATAGATAAGTCAAATAGGATCAGCAATACGATTTTGAGTAATAAATCGACTCCAGCGGCACCTGGCGTTTTCAGTTGTGGACTTAAACTGTACAGGGACCTATTCAAACAAATACAAAGTTCACCCACCAGAATAGGTCTATTACATACTGACACTCTTCAGCATTTTTTCCATTTAAAAAAAAAAACTACCTAGCATTCGTTATACGGAGAAAATGCGCAACATCATCAGCGAAAAAGTTCTCAAAAATCAACGCTAACTTATAGCCATTTAAAACTTGCACTTTATGATACTGAAATTGAGTGAACTATAAAAGTGCATACTCAAAATTAGGTACCATTTGATGCAAAATAAACTATATTTCTATAAAAATCACCAAAAAAAAGTATTATGAAAAAGAAAAAAACTCTGTATTCTGGGTGTATATATTCACAAATAGGTAACGCGTCCCTTTCCAGTAGCCCCAAAATCTCTATACCAATTTCGAGGACACTACCACAAATACTTTCAGAGATATACGGTATGAAAAATTCGATATGTGTGGCTGATTCCACGCTTCCTTAATATAACGAAAGTCTGCAGTAGGTGACCAAATATTCAAAAAAATCGGTACAGCCGTTCGCGAGATCACCTCTGATAAAAAGAAGGAGCTTCTCTTTATATAATTAGTGTAGGTAACACAGGGCAACACCGATTTTGATGCGGCAAATGTTAAATCTGTTTTTGATAGAATATTTTGTGCTGATTACGAATCCGTAAGTATTAAGTTGTTACGTACGTGTTGCCAGATGCCACGCTTCTACCTTGCTTGCAACGCGAAGACCGCCTCACTCTGCGCTTGCGGGTACGCTTGCTTGTAGCACGAGCTAGCTCGTCGGACTGTGGGTTGCTGTGACCACCGCTGCATGGAACCGCACCATACA